TCGTGAACCAAATCTGGTCGGCTGGGCCAATCGAGCGGAAATGCTTGGTTGGTTTGTCGGCGAATTGCAATAATCATATGGGCGGGGGTGAATCCTTTGCAGACGACTTGAATGGGAACGGGGTACTGTAAGCAGTAGAGTAGCCTTGTTGCTACGATCTGCTGAGGTTAAGCCCTTGTTCTATAGATTTGTTCAACGACAGTTGAACTCTTCTCTCTTTCTTTACCACCGTCGAACTTCAGGGCAGGTCCAGTTGGACTTGGTGCTCTGGTTCGGGGATGCACTGGGAATGAGAGAGCGAGGGTGAGTGTTTTTGTTTAATTAATGATGCGAGTGATGACTATCATTCTCTTCCCCGTCTTATACGACAATGGCGAGATAATAGAGAGGCTTGTTTCGCAAACAAGTCGCGCTCCTAATGCGCAAATGGTACTTGCCAGTGCCCTTTAGTCTGACTTATAATGCCGTATTCAATGCCTTTTGAAGCTCGACACTGATGTGTCTGTTATAGTGCCTCAATGGTTCCGACACCTTCGTCGAAGCGCGCCATATACACTCGGTTTCTAGTGCTCTGATAATGGTGAGTTTACTCAGATTCAATTCACTCTCTTACACGATGAATATCGCCGTACATTCGCAGTTTTCGCCATAGTGCCCTCCTTGAAAAGGGAGTAATCCCCCAATACCGAACGCTTATAATCCCCCTCTAATGCCTTGTTGAACCCATTAACAAGGTAGAGCGCGGGCCGCCTTCATGGTGCGCTGGGCGGGAGGTGGGGGTCGGCACAATGCAGGATTGAATGACCTTCCTTTGGATGTCTGATTCTTGTTATATTCGACTATCAAACCATTTACTAACATCCATTTATCGCAGCTATAAACGTCCGTTCATGCGTTGTAGAGTACTGTATATAGCATTCAATACACTCCTTTGTTACTGTATTAGAAGCGTGATATGACTCGTCAAGACACATCGTTCGCAACGAGGTTTAGGGCAGGCTCGAGATACGAGACTTCAATGTGAGTAACAAAACGCATAAGCCACCGCCTATGAGACTTGAACACAGTATTCTAATGCGGGTAACAAAATGCAAAACCACAGCACCCAGGA